TCTCTCTCTCTCTCTCTCTCTCTCTCTCTCTCTCTCTCTCTCTCTCTCTGTGTGTGTGTGTGTGTGTGTGTGTGTGTGTGTGTGTGTGTGTGCAGCAGCCTCAGTCCTCCTCTTTTTCGACGTGTGCAGCGGTGCACTCTCCCTGGAGTCGTCATCCGACTCTTCTGTTGCTAGTGCCGCAACGGGTTGTTTCTCCTTGTGTGGCCGACCTCTCCCACGTCCTGAAGTGGACCTCCCTCGCCCTGTGCCTCGTGCAGCCCGTGCAGCACCTCCTCTCGCACGTCCCGAAGCGGACCTCCCTCTACCTCGCTGAGCACGATAGGCGAGGGGATCCCATACACGGTCGGGATGTGCTCCGTGCTGCCTGACGAGAGTCAATTGCCGACTAGAATCATAAAATGTTTGCACCTCTCTTAGATGTTGCACGCCCTCCCCGCGCTCCTCCACCTGCTGCTCCCCCACCTTCTGCTCCTCCACCAGATGCTCCTCCACCTACTGCTCCTTGTGCTCCTCCACTTGCCGCTCCTCCCCCTGCTGCATGCCCTCCTCGTGCTCCTCCACCTGGTGCTCCTCCTCCCCCTCCTCCACCTGCTGCTCCTCCCCCTGCTCCTCCTCCTCCTGCTCCTCCCCTTGCTCCTCCCCCTGCTCCTCCACCTGCTGCTCCCTCCCTTGTTGCTCGTTCGGTTGCTGCCCCTCCACCTGATGCTCCTCTCCACGCGGCTGGTCTGCGACCACAATCCAGATCGTGTGCCTCGAACATACGGGGCGTCCTCTCTCCTCCTCCAAGACCTGTCAGAGTCTGACCTCTTGTCCACCCACTCCTCGCCGGGAATGTCATCCTCCACATCCTCCTGCTCATCCTTGGTGTCATCCTCCTCGTTATACTCCTTCTCGACCTCCTTCGCATGCCCTAATCTCTGCACGGACCTCAATGTCGATGGCCCAGTTGGATCGTGGCGAACAGTGGTGCTGCCCACCGGCGCCCCCGACAGCAGGCTCGTAGTCATCAACGGCCTCGATGACATTCGCAAAGTCATCCCCCAGATCCTCATCCTCTCAGTTGGTTGAGAGCCCCAACCACCCTCTTGCCATCGTGGGCCCCTCATCCCCCCTTGCGCTTGAGCCTCAAACTCCAGTTAGAGGACACCAATTTGTTGGTGCGCTGGTGTGCAACTTGTTCCTGTGCTATGTCTGCACCAGAGCCCAAGTGCTCCAGTTCCTCTAAGCAAGAGAGGAAGTCGTCCAGTCTCTGGATGCCCCGCCCTGTGCGCCTCCCACCACAAAACCGCATTGTCCTTCACAACCCGTTTCTTTGCCCGTGGGGTGTCGAGGACTCCTCTCACGAACTCAAAGACATAGAGCTGGTCCATGCACTCGTTGAATCTCGTGCTTCCCTTCTTTCCAATGAGCCTCTCGACCACTCTCAAATTGTGCCATGAGGTCGACTTTACTGAAAACAGTAATGTCCCTCAAATGAGGATCCAACAGTCGGGCAACAACATGGATGGGGCTGAGCAGCATGTTTGTCCTGTTCCAGACGTCCCTAAGCATGTGATCTCGCTGGTCTGCGGTAAGGGGGGCTGATCGGACGAAGGCGAGCAGTCGACAAGCCATATCGTAGATGCGAGACAAGTAGTGGACATCTTTGTCCAAATCGCGCAACACATCATAGGGCCCCTTCATGACGGTAGTCAGCTTCTTAGAATCAGCCCGAAAGGCCTTGTCAAGAACTGTTTCCTCCACAAAGAAGGCCTTGGCCCTGATGTCCCCTCGCCACGCATGCGCCTCCCACTCCTGCCCAGCGACAATCCATCTGATGGCCTTCTCACAGACCTCCAGCCGCTGCAGCATCTTGTAGTGCGTCCCAAACCTCGTCCGCGCCGGTCGAAGGAGGCAACTGCATTTCAAGTCCTGGAACTTGACAAGTGTCGTTCTCAACGCTGATCTGGGCCACCTGTGAACCCGAAAGAAGTTGACCACTCTGACCGCCTTACCGATGATCTATGCCACCCACTCTTTCTTGTAAATGTCGTGCATGACGTCCATGCAGTGAGCGGTGCAAGGGATCCAATATATCTGGTTGAACTCAGGGTCCTCCCTCAACATTCTCTCAGCACTCGTGTTGCCTGCAAAAGAGTCCGTGCAAACAGCCATGATCTTCTCACCCCCCACTCCCTGAAGAACCGCTTCCATCCAGCAACGACAGTTGTTGAGTCCTGGTCCCCATCGCTGACATCCTTGCACTTGATGAAAACAGGCTTCGACCGGCCTGCAGGCATGTAGTTCATAAGCGATCGACCACAAATGTCTTTGGTCTCATCGGTTATGAACGTGCAGCCAGTCACCTGCCAGTCGTCACGGATCGCCTACTCCTCCTCTTCCAACCTCTTGTTAAGGTGATCCAGCAACCGACACCTGAGAGGGTTGTACCCAGTAGGCATAAGAGGGTGGCTCGCTGCAGATTGTGGCCCGTAACACGCCCGCGTGAACTTCTTGAAACGCCTGCTCTTGGCGTCGTTGAACAGGATCGCGTTCTCCACGAAGAACTCAGCGCAGGAATCATTTATCCTGCATTGGGTTCTTCGCGAACCTCTTGATGCTCGTCTGCCTCCCTAGCCTGCGTGTGCGGACCCCCTGCATCACAGCCTGCGAGGACCCAGGCCTCCCTCCACCGTCGGATCCTCTTATCACAACACCCCCGTCCCCTCATCCAATCCCTCCTCACCCTCCCCACCATGTGCCTCCTCAGGCTGATCAGCAATCCCCTCCCCCACCCTTCGCCAACAGCTACCACGTTAGGAACGTCGTCGTCGTCGTCATCCCTGTCATGCTCCAACACCATTTGCACCCTCGCAAGCAAATCCAGAGGCAGCTGCGCACCGCTGCGATGCAGCCTCTTCCAAATGGAGAGGTTCGAACCCGGACACCTGGCCGACGCCCTTGCCAGAATGAAGTGCTCCCACACACACTTCCGATTCCCTTTGTACTCCTTGTTGCAAATCTTGCAGCGCAACATCCTCGACCCACGAGAATTGCCCGGTAGCATCTACCAAGGAGTCACCCAACTCCACACCATGTGGTCCCTTCGACAGACCTTGTCCCCCTCGAATGGCTCCTCTGCCTCGTCCGCCATATCACCCGACAGTCGACGTCGTAGGCAACGATGTGGGGGGCGCGAACGTGGGGCTGCTACCGTGGGAACTGCTGACGTGGCACCTTCTCACATGGTAGTTGCCCACGTGGCAGCTGCTTAACTCCTCCCTCTGCTCACTTGCAGCTGCTGACATTGCAGCTGCCTACCTCCTCTCTTTGCTCACGTGGCAGCTACTGACGTGGCCGCTGCTGTGTCACCTGCTGACGTGGCTGCTGTTGTCGTGGGACCTGCTAACGTCGCAATTCCTGACGTGGCAGTTGCACATCCTCCTGCTGTCGTGGCAGTTGCACATCCTCCTGCTGTCGTGGCAGTTGCGGTCCAGTGCATGTGCGACGCGGTGTGCGGATGTAAGAATCGGAAATGTGTTAAAAACAAACAAACAAACAAAAAACGACATGAAGGACGACGACAGGAGGAGGAAGAAGAAGAAGAAGAAGAAGAGATGGAGGATGAGGAGGAGGAGGGAAGAAGATGAAGAAGTACAAGAAGGGAGAAGGACAAGGAGAGAGGAAGGAGAAGAACAAGAGATGGAGGACAAGGAAAAAAGAAGAAGTACAACAACAAGAGGAGGAGAGGAAGAAGAGGAGAAGAAAGAAGAAGAAGAAGAAGAAGAAGAAGAAGAGGTGGTGGAGAAGAAGACGAGGAGGAAGAGGAGAAGGAGAAGAAGAAGAAGATGACGAAAGGAGGAGGAAGATGAGGAATAGGAGGAGGAGATGAAGAAGAAGAAGAAGAAGAGGAGAAGAAGAGGATGGTGTCCACGTTATCTTCTTCTTCTCCTCGTCTTCTTCTTCTTCATCTCCTCCTCTTCCTCCTCTTCCTCCTCCTTACTCATCTTCTTCTTCTTCTTCTTCTTCTTCTTCTTCTCCTCCTCCTCCTCCTCGTCTTCTTCCACTCATCCTCATCTTCTTCTCCTCCTCTTTTTCTTCTTCTCCTCCTCCTCAATGAGTCCTCATCTTCTCCCTCTCCTCTTCCTCGCCATGTTCTCCGCCTCCTCGCCATCTTCTTCTTGTTCAGTAGGAGGAGAAGGAGATGAAGAAGATGACGACGAGGCGGAGAAGGACAGGAAGAAGAAGAAGAAGAAGATGACGAGGACACGAAGATGGAGGACACAGAGAGAAGAAGGAGAGAGAACATGACGAAAGGAGGAGAAGAAGGAGATGGCGAGGAGGAGAGGGAGATGACGACTAGGAGAAGAAGAAGAAGAAGAAGAAGAAGAAGAAGAAGAAGAAGACGAGTAGGAGGAGGAGAGAAGAAGAAGACGAAGAAGAAGAAGAAGAAGAAGAAAAAGAAGAAAAAGAAGAAGAAGAAGATGATGAAGAAGAAGAGGAAGGAAACAAAAAGAAAAGAAAAAATCGTGAGTGTTGACGTGGCAGCCGCGCGTCGACGACGACATGACAGGGAGGAGTTGGAGGAGAGGAGGAGGAGAAGAAGAAGAAGAAGATGGCGAAAGGAGGAGAGGAGGAGGAGATGAAGAAGATGGCGAAGAGGAGAAGAAGAAAAAGAAGAAGAGGAGAAGAAGAAGTTGACGAGGAGGAGAAGAAGAAGAAGAAGAAGATGAAGAAAGGAGGAGGACGAGGCGGAGGAGGAGGAGAAGGAGGAGAGCAGAAGAAGAGCGGATAAAGATGAAGAAGAAGAAGAATATTAAAAAAAAATAAAAAAGGTAGCACGCGTCGATGTGACGTCCCCGCGACAACAACGAACATGACGGGGAGAACGACAAGGAGGAGAAGGAGAAGAAGATGGGGAGGAGTAGAGGAAGATGGCGAGGACAAGAAGAAGATGATGAAAAGGAGGATGAGAAGAAGAAGAAGAAGAAGAAGAAGAAGAAGAAGAAAGGAGGAGGAGGATGAGATGGCGATGAGGAGGACGAGGCGGATAAGAAGGTGAAGATGACGAAAGGAGGAGGAGGAGGAGGAGAAGAAGAAGAAGAAGAAGAAGAAGAAGAAGAAGAAGAAGAAGAAGAAGAAGAGGAGGAGGAGGAGAAGTTGACGAGGAGGAGGAGAAGAAGAAGAAGATGATGAAGAAATGAGGAGGACGAGGCGGAGGAGGNAGAAGAAGAAGAAGAGGAGGAGGAGGAGAAGTTGACGAGGAGGAGGAGAAGAAGAAGAAGATGATGAAGAAATGAGGAGGACGAGGCGGAGGAGGAGGGGAAGGAGTAGAGCATGAGACGAAGAGTGGATGAAGAAGAAGAAGAAGAAGAAGAAGAAGAAGAATATTAAAAAAAAAAAAAGTCGCTCGTGCTGACGTGGCAGCCGCATGACGACAACGAACATGACGGGGAGGACGACGACGAGGAGAAGGAGAAGAAGATGGGGAGGAGTAAAGGAAGATGGCGACGACAAGAAGAAGATGATGAAGAGGAGGAGGAGGAGAAGGAGAAGAAGAAGAAAGGAGGAGGAGGATGAGATGGCGAGGAGGAGGACGAGGCGGATAAGAAGGTGAAGATGACGGAGGAGGAGGAGGAGGAGGAGGAGGAGGAGGAGGAGAAGAAGAAGAAGAAAAAGAAGAAGATGATGATGATGATGATGAAAGGAGTAGGAAACGACGGCGAGGAGGAGGAGATGAAGAAGATGACGAAGAGGAGAAGANAGAAGAAAAAGAAGAAGATGATGATGATGATGATGAAAGGAGTAGGAAACGACGGCGAGGAGGAGGAGATGAAGAAGATGACGAAGAGGAGAAGACGAAGAAGAAGAAGAAGAGGAGAAGAAGTTGATGAGGAGGAGAAGAAGAAGAAGATGATGAGGAAACAGGGAGGACGAGGCAGCGGAGAAGGAGGAGAAGAAGGAGAGCAGAAGAAGAAGACATGATGAAGATGAAGAAGAGGAAGAAGAATATTAAAAATAAAAACAAGGTCGCGCGTGCTGATGTGGCAGTCGCGCGACGACGACGAACATGACGGGGAGGACGACGAGGAGGAGAAGGAGAAGAAGATGGGGAGGAAGAGAGGAAGATGGCGAGGATAAGAAGAAGATGATGAAGAGGAGGGGAAGAAGGAGAAGAAGAAGAAGAAGAAGAAGAAGAGAAAAAAAGGAGGAGGAAGATGAGATGGCGAGGAGGATTACGAGGCGGATAAGAAGGTGATGATGACGAAAGGAGGAGGAGATGAAGAAGATAACAAAGAGAAGAAGAAGAAGAAGAAGAAGAAGAAGAAGAAGAAGAAGAAGAAGAGAAGAAGAAGAAGAGAATAAAAAGTTGAAGAGGAGGAGGAGAAGAAGAAGAAGATGATGGAGAAACGAGGAGGACGAGGCAGAGAAGGAGGAGGAGAAGGAGGACAGCAGAAGAAGAAAGGATGAAGAAGAAGAAGAAGAAGAAGAAGAAGAAGAAGAAGAAGAAGAGGAAGAAGAAGAACAACAAGAACAAGAAAAATATTTTTTTTTTAAAAAGGTCGCGCGTGCTGATGTGGCAGCCGCGCGACGACGACGAACATGACGGGGAGGACGACGAGAAGGAGAAGGAGAAGAAGATGGAGAGGAGGAAACGAAGATGTCGGGACAAGAAGAAGAAGATAAAGAGGAGGAGAAGACGAAGAAGAAAGGAGGAGGATGAGATGGCGAGGAGGAGGACGAGGCGGATAAGAAGGTGAAAATGGCGAAAGGACGAGGAGGAGGAGGATGAGAGCAGAAGAAGAAGAAGAAGAATATAAAATAAAATAAAAACGTCGCGCGTGCTGACGTGGCAGCCACGTGACGACGATGAACATGACGGGGAGAACGACGAGGACGAGAAAATGGCAAAATGACGACAAGAGAAGAAG